CGTTTGAGATTTCTTCTGAAGAGCCTCCTTGTTCTTCTGAAGAGCCTCCTTGTTCTTCTGGAGAGCCTCCTTGTTCTTCTGGAGAGCCTCCTTGTTCTTCTGGAGAGCCTCCTTGTTCAGAAGAGCTACAACATAGTTTGCAACACTTTAAAAGAAATAAGAAAAACACTCAAGAAATGTGTGCATCTCTGATTGGGAAACTGCTTGGCTGTGGTGTTGCAACTACAGTAATAAAGTCTGTTGTTCAAAATGTAGAGGAACTTGTAGAAGAAGTTCAAACAAACATACAAGATGATGTTCTAAGTATGTGTTCTGACAATGAGAATTTGCAAGTCCAGTTGAAAGATTATTTCAAAAGTGTGGGAAATCCATTCAGTGGTGTCAACACAGAGATAAAATGGAAGAAACATTTTGTGGAAAAGTGGGGTGTGGTCGAACCTATAGAGATTGCCCTTGGTGTACGGTATGATGCAAGAAGAAATCGAACCTCTTGTACATATGATCAGGTTCCAGTAACAGATAAGTTTGTTTACATTCCCATTTTAGAGACTTTAAAATTTATTTTTTCCAACAAAGAGATATGTGGCCATTTTGTTCAGCCTTCAGATCAATATGGAGTGTACAAAGATTTCTGTGATGGTAGTTTCTTTAAAGCTCATTCCCTCTTCAAAAACAACACAGATGCTCTCCAAATTCAGATTTTCTTTGACGAGTTCGAGACTGCAAATCCACTTGGGTCTAAACATGGAATTCATAAAATTGGAAGCATCTACTTTGTTCTTAGAAATTTCACTCCAAAAATTAATTCTGCTCTTATGAATATYCATCTTGTTGCACTGTTTCACAGTCAAGACATTAAGAAATATGGCATCAATGCAATATTGGATCCCCTGGTACAGGATCTCAAAATCCTTGAGTCTACAGGGATTAGTGTCCCTTTTTCAAAAAGTCTTGTTCGTGGAACAGTAGCACAAGTCACTGGGGACAATTTAGGTTTACACACCCTGCTTGGATACGTTGAATCTTTCAGTGCTAACCATTTTTGCYGTTTTTGTGTGGCTAACAAAGATCAATGTCAAAAGATTTTCACTGATGATGAACCCAACTTAACACTGCGCAACAAAGAACTCTATGAACAGCATTGTCATGATATACAGGACCCTACAGTGACATCTTCTTTTGGCGTGAAGCGAATTTGTCTACTCAATGATCTGCAGTATTTCAATGTCTGTGACAACTATGCTGTTGACATTATGCATGACATACTAGAGGGTGTTGGTCAGCTGGAGTTGAAGTTGCTTTTTGGGTACCTATCGGACAATAAAATAATATCCAAACATGAGGCCATTGGAAGAATATACTCGTACAACTATGGATATCTTGAACGAAAAAATCGTCCCAACAAAATAAACTTGGAGCACACAAGTAATTCAATAGCTCTAAATGCTATTCAAACGTTTTGTTTAATAAGAAATGTCCCACTGATTTTTGTAGATGTAGTGCCAGAAGGCAATCCATATTGGAGACTTTTGCTGCTGCTGCTTCAAATTATTAATATTGTGTTTTCACCGGTCATTACAGAAGGGATGACTATTTGTTTGAAGCATCTCATTATTGATCATCATCAGTTATTCAAAGAGCTCTACCCTCAAAACAATTTGATACCCAAACACCACTTTATGATCCATTATCCCAGGATCATACGAAAAATTGGCCCAATTCTTCACTTTTGGACAACAAGATTTGAGGCAAAGCACAGATTTTTTTAAGAACAGTGTAAAAAATTTCTAAAACATCAATAAGACATTGGCCCAAATACATCAGATGATAATAACATACAACTGGAAGTCGTTGCCTTTAACTTCCCTAACTTAAACATTTAATACTTATTTAGTACATTTAATTAAATACATTTAATTTTGGTATTGCTATGATACCAAAATTCCCAGTATCGCCCACCTCTACGCTGCTATTACTCAAAAATGGGTGCTTTCAACTAGACCGTTCAGTTACTAGGTTTGCACAAGGTTTTGTTTATTTTTATTCATGGTAACAGTCTGCACATCTGTGTGGAC